ACCAATCAGAGCAGAGCAGAGTAGACCAATCACTACAGACTGGGCCATCTGACCAATCAGAGCAGAGCAGAGTAGACCAATCACAACAGACTGGGCCATCTGACCAATCAGAGCAGAGTGGACCAATCACTACAGACTGGGCCATCTGACCAATCAGAGCAGAGTAGACCAATCACAACAGGCTGGCCATCTGACCAATCAGAGCAGAGTAGTCCAATCACAACAGACTGGGCCATCTGACCAATCACAACAGACTGGGCCATCTGACCAATCACAACAGACTGGACCATCTGACCAATCAGAGCAGAGTAGACCAATCACAACAGGCTGGCCATCTGACCAATCAGAGCAGAGTAGTCCAATCACAACAGACTGGGCCATCTGACCAATCACAACAGACTGGGCCATCTGACCAATCAGAGCAGAGTAGACCAATCACTACAGACTGGGCCATCTGACCAATCACAACAGACTGGGCCATCTGACCAATCAGAGCAGAGTAGACCAATCACGACAGACTGGGCCATCTGACCAATCAGAGCAGAGTCGACCAATCACAACAGACTGGGCCATCTGACCAATCAGAGCAGAGTAGACCAATCACAACAGACTGGGCCATCTGACCAATCAGAGCAGAGTCGACCAATCACAACAGACTGGGCCATCTGACCAATCAGAGCAGAGTAGACCAATCACAACAGACTGGGCCATCTGACCAATCAGAGCAGAGTCGACCAATCACAACTGACTGGGCCATCTGACCAATCAGAGCAGACCAATCACTACAGACTGGGCCATCTGACCAATCAGAGCAGAGCAGAGTAGACCAATCACTACAGACTGGGCCATCTGACCAATCAGAGCAGAGTCGACCAATCACAACGGACTGGGCCATCTGACCAATCAGAGCAGACCAATCACTACAGACTGGGCCATCTGACCAATCAGAGCAGAGCAGAGTAGACTAATCGCTACAGACTGGGCCATCTGACCAATCAGAGCAGAGCAGAGTAGACCAATCACAACAGACTGGGCCATCTGACCAATCAGAGCAGAGTGGACCAATCACTACAGACTGGGCCATCTGACCAATCAGAGCAGAGTAGACCAATCACAACAGACTGGACCATCTGACCAATCAGAGCAGAGTAGACCAATCACAACAGGCTGGCCATCTGACCAATCAGAGCAGAGTCGACCAATCACAACAGACTGGGCCATCTGACCAATCAGAGCAGAGTCGACCAATCACAACAGACTGGGCCATCTGACCAATCAGAGCAGAGTAGGCCAATCACAACAGACTGGGCCATCTGACCAATCAGAGCAGAGTCGACCAATCACAACAGACTGGGCCATCTGACCAATCAGAGCAGAGTCGACCAATCACAACAGACTGGGCCATCTGACCAATCAGAGCAGAGTCGACCAATCACAACTGACTGGGCCATCTGACCAATCAGAGCAGAGTAGACCAATCACAACAGACTGGGCCATCTGACCAATCAGAGCAGAGTCGACCAATCACAACTGACTGGGCCATCTGACCAATCAGAGCAGAGTCGACCAATCACAACAGACTGGGCCATCTGACCAATCAGAGCAGAGTCGACCAATCACAACAGACTGGGCCATCTGACCAATCAGAGCAGAGTAGACCAATCACTACAGACTGGGCCATCTGACCAATCAGAGCAGAGTCGACCAATCACAACTGACTGGGCCATCTGACCAATCAGAGCAGACCAATCACTACAGACTGGGCCATCTGACCAATCAGAGCAGAGCAGAGTAGACTAATCGCTACAGACTGGGCCATCTGACCAATCAGAGCAGAGCAGAGTAGACCAATCACAACAGACTGGGCCATCTGACCAATCAGAGCAGAGTGGACCAATCACTACAGACTGGGCCATCTGACCAATCAGAGCAGAGTAGACCAATCACAACAGGCTGGCCATCTGACCAATCAGAGCAGAGTAGTCCAATCACAACAGACTGGGCCATCTGACCAATCAGAGCAGAGTAGACCAATCACAACAGACTGGGCCATCTGACCAATCAGAGCAGAGTAGACCAATCACTACAGACTGGGCCATCTGACCAATCACAACAGACTGGGCCATCTGACCAATCAGAGCAGAGTAGACCAATCACTACAGACTGGGCCATCTGACCAATCAGAGCAGAGTAGACCAATCACAACAGACTGGGCCATCTGACCAATCAGAGCAGAGTAGACCAATCACAACAGACTAGTCCATCTGACCAATCAGAGCAGAGTAGACTCAGAAAGCAGGGATTTAGAGAGACTGACCTTTCTGAAAGGGTTCAATCAAGGATTGAATGTACTGTAGGAGACTCAAAAACAAAATTAGGAACCTTTAAAAAAAAACTGTAATAATATCCCAAATATTCAGTAATTAAAAAACTGAACAGCCGCTTGTTTTACTGTATATTTGTGAGTTGAGCTCCTCTGTGTTCTCTCTCAGGTAACTGTGAGAACAGCGAGACCCCAGCGGGCGAGAGCACATAGCATCATGAAGCTCTGCTCCAGCCACAGCCGCCCACCTCAGCGCAGGCATCTCTGCGGACAGCCCAGTCAGACCGGTCCGAGGACCCCTGGGACTCACCCAAACTTCTGTAGTTCATTTTCCCCTCCAACATTTATTGTAAATCTGGAGCTTTTTTTTTTTTTTATCGTTTCATTTGTTTTTAGTTGTTTTTTTTTTTCCTCTTGGACTGCAAATAAACAAATTAAAAAGACAACAAAAAAAGAAAAAGGAGAAAAAAAATCGAGACTTTTCCATGTATGGCTTTGGACTTGGTTGCTCATCATATTGATGAGTGTGAGGGTGTTTCTCTCTCCGTTTAAGACACGGAATCGACAAGACTGCAGTTTCTACCGTGGGACCGTTTTTTACTCATTCGCTCTGTCTCTCTCTCTATCTCTCTCGGCTTCAGACCACTTCATCGTGACCTCGCCGCATCATCACACTTATCGGCCAACCAGCTGGCCGGTAGCATCAGTCACCTGACCTATATCCCCTGTGTTCGGTGTAGTTGTACCATTTTCTGATTTCTGCCAGAGCGTCTCCTGGATGTTCACTTTCCAGGACATGATGACACTTTTACTAGTCTGCTAAGATGGTAGTTAGATTTCTCATCGGTGTTAACCAATAAAGGACTGAACCAGCACACGGACCCGTGCTGTAGTCAAACCTGTTTCTAGACCTCGCCCCTGTAAAAGAGGAAAATCGTCTCTTCACACATCAAATTGAGTTGTGTAGCTTCGATAATGTTTAATATTTCTTTTTTTAGTTGAACTGATGAGAATTTAACATTTAAAGCAGCGTCTGTATGTTTTTATTTTCCATATTCTGAGGGTTTGTATTGTTTTGGCCTTTTTTTTTTTAAATATTGATTTACTATATTAACTTTTTATCCATTTTCATGTCGTTTGGAGATGATATTTCTTCGTGTGTTGGAAGTTTGAGTGCATTTAGACAGGAAAAAAAAGGACAAAAAAAAAACTTGTACCCTTGAATGTTCTGTAAATTTCTATGCGTATATTATCACTTACTAGCACACCGTGTCTCCAAACTCCTTTACAAAATAAATAGTAATATCAAAGTAAAAAAAAACAAAAAAAAAGATGAAACATTTGAAATAAATTTTTGTCTTATGTCAAATCGTGGGCTTCACTTTCTCACAAGGAAGAATCATGTGATTTATCTTTATGAGGTTATGGTGATTTATAGCAAGTTTTTAAATTTATGGGATAAACATCCAAAGTTTAAAGAAAATGTATTTTGCATAATGGAAATATCTTCACAATGCAAACTTCTTAATAGTTTAATAAAGAAAAATTAGAATATCGTGCTAATTCAAGTTAATTTCAACTTAAAAGATGAAACTAATATATTATATAGACTCATTACATGCAAAGTGAGATATTCCAAGCCTTTATTTGAAATATAAAGCCTTTTCACAATATTTTAATTTTGACTTTTGGGTTTTCATAAGCCATAATCATCAAAATTATAACAAAAGCTTGAAATATCGAGTCTAAATAATATATTAGTTTCATCTTTTAAGTTGAATTACTGAAATAAATGAACTTTTGCAGGATATTCTAATTTTTTGAGTTTCACCTGATGTATACTACCGTTCAAAAGTTTGGGGTGAGATTTTTATTTTATTTCATCTCATACTCGAGGTTGCATTTATTTGATCAAAATATTAAAAGCAGTTGTAATGTTGTGATATTTGAAAGTATTTAAAAATGCAGTCTTCGGTGTCACATGATCCTTCAGAAATCACTCTAATATGATGATTTGCTGCTCAAGAAACATTTCTGATTATTATCAATGTTGAAAACAGTTGTGCTGCTTCATATTTTTGTGGAAACCGTAATCTTTGATGAATAGAACATTGAAACAAACAGAATTTTTTTTTTTAAATAGACTCTTTTGTAACATTATAAATGTCTTTACTCTCACTTTCGATCAATTGAATGCATTCTTGCTGAATAAACAGTGTTTTCTTTTTACAGACCCTAAACGTTTGAATGGTAGTGTATTTAGTTTGGTTAGAATTGCCAATTGCTAGTTGGTTGACAAAACTCTGTGTAGTGAGTATCACTTTTGTTCTACTTGTTTTAAGTGAATCAATAATCAGACTTTTTTTTTACCTAAAATGAATTATGACATTGAGGTGTCATGTTGTGAATGTTCAGCAGATGGCGACAAACTCAAACATTACTGCACAGTTTCCAGCCTTTCCAGCTGGTGCCATTTAACAACTGATTGAACGGTGTTTGTCAGAAATCAATAAAGCTCTTCTGAAGCTGACGTCTGACAAACCCAGATTTTGACTGGCTCTCACGCTGTTTACTTTCGTGTCCGGGGGTCAAAAGTCAACCAGAATCAGATGGTTTTGTTGTGAGAGGGTCTTCGACTTCTGGGAACAAGTAATGTGTGAATCATTAAGACGAGGTGTAGTAGTCAAAAACCTTTAATTAGACATGATTTCTACATGTAAATAGTTTACAATCTGCACTATTTCAATGTTATTTCTAATGACAAATCGAATGCGTTTGATTGGCGAGCGATGATGATGACTACAGCTTCCATGCGTTCTTCATCATGGTGATGAAATACTCGTCGCTGTCAATAGAGGCGCTGACCCCACTGTAGTAGTTCACAAACTCCTCCAGCGTCACCTATCACAGGAAGAAAAAAAGGTGTGTTCATGGCATGTTGTAATTTAGACTTTTATTCACATTTAACTTTAATCAACTCGCACATCAGTTGTGATAAATCACTTTTGAGCTTCTACGAGAACCAATGAGGTTCATTCTCGTGTTACGCATCACGTTTGAGCTTCTGCGAGAACCAATGAGGTTCATTCTCGTGTTACGCATCACGTTTGAGCTTCAGCAAGAACCAATGAGGTTCATTCTCGTGTTACGCATCACGTTTGAGCTTCTGCGAGAACCAATGAGGTTCATTCTCGTGTTACGCATCACGTTTGAGCTTCGGCGAGAACCAATGAGGTTCATTCTCGTGTTACGCATCACGTTTGAGCTTCGGCAAGAACCAATGAGGTTCATTCTCATATTACGCATCACTTTTGAGCTTCTGCGAGAACCAATGAGGTTCATTCTCGTGTTGCGCATCACGTTTGAGCTTCTGCGAGAACCAATGAGGTTCATTCTCGTGTTACGCATCACTTTTGAGCTTCTGCAAGAACCAATGAGGTTCATTCTCGTGTTACGCATCACGTTTAAGCTTCGGCGAGAACCAATGAGGTTCATTCTCGTGTTACGCATCACTTTTGAGCTTCTGCAAGAACCAATGAGGTTCATTCTCGTGTTACGCATCACGTTTGAGCTTCTGCGAGAACCAATGAGGTTCATTCTCGTGTTACGCATCACGTTTGAGCTTCGGCAAGAACCAATGAGGTTCATTCTCGTGTTACGCATCACGTTTGAGCTTCTGCGAGAACCAATGAGGTTCATTCTCGTGTTACGCATCACTTTTGAGCTTCTGCGAGAACCAATGAGGTTCATTCTCGTGTTACGCATCACTTTTGAGCTTCGGCAAGAACCAATGAGGTTCATTCTCGTGTTACGCATCACGTTTGAGCTTCGGCGAGAACCAATGAGGTTCATTCTCGTGTTACGCATCACGTTTGAGCTTCGGCAAGAACCAATGAGGTTTATTCTCATATTACGCATCACTTTTGAGCTTCTGCGAGAACCAATGAGGTTCATTCTCATATTACGCATCACTTTTGAGCTTCTGCGAGAACCAATGAGGTTCATTCTCGTGTTGCGCATCACGTTTGAGCTTCTGCGAGAACCAATGAGGTTCATTCTCATATTACGCATCACTTTTGAGCTTCTGCGAGAACCAATGAGGTTCATTCTCATATTACGCATCACTTTTGAGCTTCTGCGAGAACCAATGAGGTTCATTCTCATATTACGCATCACTTTTGAGCTTCTGCGAGAACCAATGAGGTTCATTCTCGTGTTACGCATCACGTTTGAGCTTCGGCAAGAACCAATGAGGTTCATTCTCATATTACGCATCACTTTTGAGCTTCTGCGAGAACCAATGAGGTTCATTCTCATATTACGCATCACTTTTGAGCTTCTGCGAGAACCAATGAGGTTCATTCTCGTGTTGCGCATCACGTTTGAGCTTCGGCGAGAACCAATGAGGTTCATTCTCGTGTTACGCATCACGTTTGAGCTTCGGCAAGAACCAATGAGGTTCATTCTCATATTACGCATCACTTTTGAGCTTCTGCGAGAACCAATGAGGTTCATTCTCATATTACGCATCACTTTTGAGCTTCTGCGAGAACCAATGAGGTTCATTCTCGTGTTGCGCATCACGTTTGAGCTTCTGCGAGAACCAATGAGGTTCATTCTCGTGTTACGCATCACTTTTGAGCTTCGGCAAGAACCAATGAGGTTCATTCTCGTGTTACGCATTACTTTTGAGCTTCTGCGAGAACCAATGAGGTTCATTCTCGTGTTACGCATCACTTTTGAGCTTCGGCAAGAACCAATGAGGTTCATTCTCGTGTTACGCATCACGTTTGAGCTTCGGCGAGAACCAATGAGGTTCATTCTCGTGTTACGCATCACGTTTGAGCTTCGGCAAGAACCAATGAGGTTCATTCTCATATTACGCATCACTTTTGAGCTTCTGCGAGAACCAATGAGGTTCATTCTCATATTACGCATCACTTTTGAGCTTCTGCGAGAACCAATGAGGTTCATTCTCATATTACGCATCACTTTTGAGCTTCTGCGAGAACCAATGAGGTTCATTCTCGTGTTGCGCATCACGTTTGAGCTTCTGCGAGAACCAATGAGGTTCATTCTCGTGTTACGCATCACTTTTGAGCTTCGGCAAGAACCAATGAGGTTCATTCTCGTGTTACGCATCACGTTTGAGCTTCGGCGAGAACCAATGAGGTTCATTCTCATGTTACGCATCACTTTTGAGCTTCGGCAAGAACCAGTGAGATTCATTCTCATATTACGCATCACTTTTGAGCTTCTGCGAGAACCAATGAGGTTCATTCTCGTGTTACGCATCACGTTTGAGCTTCGGCGAGAACCAATGAGGTTCATTCTCATATTACGCATCACTTTTGAGCTTCTGCGAGAACCAATGAGGTTCATTCTCATATTACGCATCACTTTTGAGCTTCTGCGAGAACCAATGAGGTTCATTCTCGTGTTGCGCATCACTTTTGAGCTTCTGCGAGAACCAATGAGGTTCATTCTCGTGTTACGCATCACTTTTGAGCTTCTGCAAGAACCAATGAGGTTCGTTCTCGTGTTACGCATCACTTTTGAGCTTTTGCCAGAACCAATGAGGTTCGTTCTCGTGTTACGCATCACTTTTGAGCTTCTGCTAGAACCAATGAGGTTCATTCTCGTGTTGCGCATCACGTTTGAGCTTCGGCGAGAACCAATGAGGTTCATTCTCGTGTTACGCATCACGTTTGAGCTTCGGCAAGAACCAATGAGGTTCATTCTCATATTACGCATCACTTTTGAGCTTCTGCGAGAACCAATGAGGTTCATTCTCATATTACGCATCACTTTTGAGCTTCTGCGAGAACCAATGAGGTTCATTCTCATATTACGCATCACTTTTGAGCTTCTGCGAGAACCAATGAGGTTCATTCTCGTGTTGCGCATCACGTTTGAGCTTCTGCGAGAACCAATGAGGTTCATTCTCGTGTTACGCATCACTTTTGAGCTTCGGCAAGAACCAATGAGGTTCATTCTCGTGTTACGCATCACGTTTGAGCTTCGGCGAGAACCAATGAGGTTCATTCTCATGTTACGCATCACGTTTGAGCTTCGGCAAGAACCAGTGAGATTCATTCTCATAATACGCATCACTTTTGAGCTTCTGCAAGAACCAATGAAATTAATTCTTGTGTTACGCACGAATTTTGAGCTTCTGCAGGAACCAATGAGGTTCATTCTCGTATTACGCATCACGTTTGTGCTTCTGCAAGAGGTTTGCATGTCAAGCAGGTTTGGTTGAGCTTCTGTTTATGTTTTCTGATCAATTTTATATGGGAATAAAAACCTAAATTAAATCTTTTCATAATATATAGTGATCAAGTCTCTTAATAATTTGTATATAAAATATATGAAAGAATTGTATTAATTTATAAAAGTTATTAATTTCTTAAATTAATTTGTCTTTAGTAACCGTTTTGTTTTTGTCATATATTTTAAATACAGTAAAGGTACAGGTACAGTAAGTTAAAAGTTAAAATCTCTGCCACATTTAAAAAAAAAACAGCTAAATGAAATCATAACTTTAGTTAATTATGAGACTAAAAAAAATAAACATAAAATTCTATATTTTATAAGTCTTAAAAAATATGACATAATTATGAAATGAAAAGTGACAAAGTCATGAGATTTTTTTTTTTTAAATGAAGACAATTCAGATTTAAAAAGTCACAGTCAAAATTATGACAAACAATTAAATTACATATTAGGTCATAATTATAAGATCTTCAGCAGTTTTGTCTATAACAACTCTTTTGTTTTTGTATCTTTTTGCATAGCTAGATATGCTTTTAGTAGTGGAAGTGATGCTTATGAAAAAGCTTCGGCCTACACCTTTTCGGTTAATATAATGTACAATTAGTATGGTATTGTGTATGAGGAGTAAAATGAACGCTCATGATGATGATGATGATGATCTCCAGACAGTTATTAAGACTGTAATGCAGGAACCTTTCCATCCTTGTCGTACGGAGAGTCGAAGCTGTCGAGGAACGAGCGGAAGACTTGTTCTTCTGTCCACTCTCCGCTCTTGAATTTGGGGTGATGTTTGCTGTTGTAAACCCCCTGCAGATCTTCTACAGTCACAACACCGTCGCCTGTCTTATCAAGCTTCTGGAAAGCCTGACCGATCACCTGCCTCCGCGCACTCGACATGGGCGGCTGAAGCAAAGACACGGATTCAAGTGGCTGGTATATTTCACTGTGGATTTGGCAAATCAGTTGAAATTTCGGTGCAGGCTTTGCTAAAATACTTTTACTGCAAGTTATGGACCCGACGATAAATTCTGATTATTCATTCAGATGCCTGATCTGTGATCAGTAAGTTCTGATAATGATTCATGCACAGTCGGAGGTTCTTCGTCTCAAAATCATTAAATTTAAGTCAGTAAATTAAGCCAGTGACTAAATGGTCAACTTTACATTGTTTCTCTTAGTAGCATGAAAATAATTGGTTGTTTAAATCGTGATTTAATTCTATACAGAACAGAAAGCGATCAAAGAACGCTCATCACTGGAGCTGTCAATCAAACAGTGCGAGTTTATCTGTGACGGAGTTCTGGACTCATGCTTCAACTTCAATTATAATCAATGACGCTGTCTACACTGCATATTGAATCTCTTATTTACATTTCTGCATCCTGGAAACGTTTGTGTAGTTTCTTACCCTTAGTTTCTCCAGAAACTCATCAAAGTTGAGGGTGCCGCTTCCATCCTTGTCCATCAGGGAAAAGATCATTTGTGCTTTGTCCTTCCCCACGGACACGCCGTAGTTCTCCAGCCCCTTCTGAAACTCCTGGAAGTCCAGAGATTTACTGCCATCATCGTCCATAATGCGGAACGTCCTGGAAACAATATTTATGTTCGTAGTTTAAATGTTCGACTTCGACATATTTTAACCCTCTTGTTTGAACCCAAATTTGGGTCAAATATGGACAAACCCAAATGTTGGGTTAAAAATGTAATTTAAAATCTTTTACTTTCAACTGTAATTTTTTTTAATTGCATTTTTTAACCTAGCATTTGGTTTGTCCATATTTGACCCAAATTTGGGTTGAAACAACCCAGCATTTTTTTTAGAGTGTACTTTTGTAAAAGCTGAATGAAATAGACAAAATTATAATTTGAAATATTGATTTATCATCGTATCATCTTATTAGGTGAATTTTATCAAGTACATGTCCAAGTCATATAACCTATCAAATAATATTATATTAAAAAAATGTGATAATGTGACTTTAAGTCATAAGTATGGGAAAAAAAAGTCAAAATTATGCGATGCAAAGTTGTAAATTGTGACTAAAGAGTACAAATTATGAATTAAAATGTCATAATTGACATACAATTTGAGATTATGACTTAAAACGTAGGAACAACAACTCAAAAATAAAGCATCTGGGTGCATTATGGGACAGCAGGGTGAGTTTAGCCCATTTTTACTAGCGGTGTCTTTAAAAATGAGCACTTTGATAACTAAAATATGACTAAAAAATTATTTTAGTACATAAAGTTAAACTAAATGAAAACACACACACACATAAAAAAAAAATAGTATAATACTGTATACATTTTATTTTATTTTTTTTTTTTAAATGGTTTTCATTTCAGGTAACTAAACCCTGGGTCCCTATCACTGGTTCAGGCTTCCTGGAGTAACCTGAGGTTAATTATCTCAATATTAATAATTCATCAACAACAACTTTCCCATAACCAGACCTAAATGTTAACCACTGCCCCTCATCACCTCAATGTTTTCTCTCTCTTTGGAATTATAGGATTTACATTTACAAAATTTATCATTTTTAAAGAGATCTGAATCTGTCCCTCACCTCCCGAGACCCTTGATCCCCGCGGAGCCCCTGTTGAGGCACTGCTGGCGGAGCTCGTTCACTGCATCTGTGGCCATTACTCTCTGGATCTGCAGTCTGTGCTCTCTTTCAGGTTGGGCTGTGAAATTAAAATATTACAATTATTATATACAATAATTCTACTTTTAGACAAATCACAGCTTAATGTGAGCTTTTATTATATTGTACACTGGATGCATTTAAGATATTTACACCAAAGTCTTTTTCTGAAGTGAACTGAGGTCAGGTGGTCCTCAAGACGTCACGTACAAGGAAGTGCTTTGATGTTGGGCTCTGTTGGCCTAGCGATTTCTGTTGGTTTGGAAACATAAACTCAGAGAATGATCACCATGGCAAATGTAAACATAAACCGCCATAAAATAACGATTGTTACAGACGTTATATATTATTAATCTTTCTCTTGATATTTTATAATGAGCAAAATCCTAATCTCAAAATAACGCACTGCTATATAATCATCACATTTATCAGTATACATTTCAGTATGTGAGGAAATATTAAACAAGTTAAAAAAAGAACAAAATATGAAGCTTATCTTTTAAGATAATTTCTTTTATCGTGTATAAAGTAAAAAAAAGTGGTTTAATATGGATATTAAGTTAAATTAAAATACATAAAGGAAATATTATACCTGTATCAAGCGAGGGTCTCTGGAGGTGTGTGTGCAGTCTCTCATGTCTCTCAGGTGCACATGCTCGTTTCTCCGCCCCTCCAAACCCAACTCTCCTTTTGATTGGCTGCAACGCGTGTCAATCATCACCTTCTGCGTTCATCGTCTATGTTAGCTAATATTTTTTTATTTTTTTATTTGATTGACATTTTAAACCTATCAATAGCCGAGTTTTAATTACCTTGGTGAGCATAGTTTTTGATTAAATACCAGAGTATTCAATATTATCAATATTATTTCCGCCGTTTTTTTAATATTATAAAACAATATCAATTCATATGGAATCACATTCAGAGTTTAATAAAAGTTCAATATATATATTGTACTAACAGTAACTCTATAACCATTTTAGCGGAAACTACCGGTACCAAAATAATTGTGTACAAGGCGGGAATAGTCGATCACGTGATGCTGAATCACCTGAACGTACGATTAGCTAAATGCTTCTCCAAAATATGGTCTACTGGTTTAAATCAGACACTTAGCAACTGATAAAACCATTCGTATTTACCACGGTAAACTACAACAAATAGCCTACAGGTAAAGAGAATTGTCTAAACAAACCCTATATTACTATGGACTAGTTTGTAGATTGAGGTAACTTAGTTTGTTAGTCAGTGGATAGAAACCTGTCAAAACCAGGTAATCTCATTCAAACAAGTCCAAATTTACTGTCTCAAATCCTCAATGATAATTTTCATTTGGTTCACATTAGTAGTTTTTGATTGTGTTAGGCTATTTTGAAATATTATACATTAATGTTCTTGACAGGTTTCATTAGTTTCAATGTCTTAATATGGTAAACAGCTGGAAGTGTTGGTGTTTTCTATTCAGATGTTTGTATTTACAGGAGAAGCAATTGAAATGCTATTAAGTGTTTTCATCTGTTGTAGAAGTGGAAAGAAACAGACGTGTTTACTGGTTTTTAACATAGACCAGCATTAGAGGTTCATTGGATTCATGTGCAGCACCAGTGATGATGATGATGATGATGATGTGGCCAGAACAGCCACAGGATGAAGTGACCAAATCTGACAAATCACCCTGCTATGGGGTAAGTGTTTACAGCCAATTAGCAACAGTTGTATTTGTGGTCATGTTCAAACATATCAAGCTGCTCTGTTGATGTTTTCTCTGCACCAGTGACGGTATTAACATTAAGTGACAGGACATCTGATGCACAGAAGCCAGTAGAATAGTAACACATCCGTTGGCATCCGTTGCTGCGTCTCAATTCACCTACTTACATTACACCCTAAATTTTGTTAGGAAAAACTACACACTTTCTGGTGTGTAGCAGACGAGTAGACAAGCTTTGGGAGTGGGACGCACTATCACCTCATACAATTGTCTGTAACATTTGCTCTTTGTCGCAGTAAACTGGCCTGTCAATCATCTTGTCTCAGTTAAAATCAACATTTATTTTCCTAGTGTCCCAGAGAGAAATGCAGAAGCATGTCAGCAACGCGTCTTTCCTGCGGAGACTCTCCTCATATTAATGCATAATGATGCATTTAAAATTTAATGGCCAAACAAATCTTTATAAAAGTCCACATTGTTATTGCAGATGAAATATAACACGGATAACATTAAATACATTTTTTTTATCAGGTTAAACTTTGGTTAGTCACTCAAACCTTTATTTACTGTAGGTTGCGCATGTTTCGTAGTTTTTTTTAACACTTTTTACTCGTGTTTGTAGTTCCTCCTCCAAAACGCCGTCGTAGCCTATATACGATTCAATAGGTGTCATAATCGCACAGTCTACATACTGTACATGTCGTACCCAAGTTTATTAGCTCCATGTCATACAGTGTGATTTGTAATGATCACACAGTCTGTAGCAGCGTAAGATTGAAGGTTTCATCCAGTGTTGTAGTCGAGACCACTTCACTCGAGTCCGAGTCGACACCGAGACCAGAGAGAGTCGAGTCCGAGTCAAGACCGAGTCCATAGAGAGTCGACTCCGAGTCGAGTCCGAGACCAGAGACGGTCGAGTCCGAGTCGAGACCGAGACCAGTGAGGGTTGATTACCTAATTTACTTTTATTTACTTAGAGAAATCCTTTTTTTTTTTTTTTTTACTGAATTTACTTAGAGTTTAAAAAATATGATCAGTTTGGGGTAAAAAGGCCACATAGTAGGTGGTGTTAAAAGTAATTTTATTACAATTTTTCATGCGCAGTTGCGCACTAGAAAATCACCAATCACTGGGCGTGTCAATCAATTTAAAGAAATATTTTATTAACATACATTAATAATCATGAAAAATATTTTTAATTGAACTCGAGTGGACTCGGGAATAATTCCGAGTCCTAAAAAAAAAAATCTTCGAGTACGAGTCAATTCCGAGTCCAAATGGACACGAGTCCATGACAAGACCAAGACCATTAAAATATGGTCTCGAGACCGAGTCCGAGACGAGTCCGAGTCTCGAGTACTACAACACTGGTTTCATCATCAATCCTCAGATTCCAGGACGTCCAGTTGTCACTGATTTCTTGGTGGATTTCCAGTTTACATTTCTTATTTATTGATTAGAGCCCGACCGATAAAGGATTTTGAAGGCCGATGCCGATACAAATACTTTTGGGTTTTAAAATCCGATATTCCAATATATCGGGCGATATTTTTTTTTTTTATTAAATATTGTTGGATTTCACACACATGTAAAAGAAAAGCTAACTTTTCTGCACAAGATACGTTTGATACTTTTTCTCTATGTCTAAATGTTCACTCCTCGCAAGTATAACTTACATTTTACAATGCAGGGACTGTAAGATATGCTAGTTATAAATACAGTAATCATTACTTTATTTAGACAGAAAAAGTTCATTGTGGTTTCTAAGCTCATTAATGTTAACGTTAACGGTCTTCCACTGATGATAGTGGCATTAGCTAGCTTTGTGGTTAGCTAGTCTATGATGAGCCATAATTTAGCAATAGATAACGTCATACATCAAACATACATTTTCAATATAACAGGCCAAGAAGAGATGATTGAAGCGTGTTTTATTTTATTTTTTAAATATTCATTTATCGGCCATTATAACTGCTGATACCGATATTATGGAAAATGCCTAATATCGGCCGATAATATCGGCCGGCCGATATATCGGTCTGGCTCTATTATTGATTTAATTAACTTTACTTCAAGGGATATTCAGAGCTTTGGAAATCTTCTGCTATCCGTTTAACCTTCTTTATGCTTTTTAAGTAGTTGCTTGGAGTGATGTTTTTTTCTTAATGGTGTAAGGTCAGCTACAGTACTTGGACTGCCTCACTAAAAAGCTTGAACTTCCAGATTGAGGTGTTATTATAGACTAGACTACACAAGTGATCTACTATTTATGTGACCTGGAAACCCAATTGGCTGATGATACAGGTGTTTCATATTAAAGGCGGTGAATGCTTAGTTATAATAGATTTTAATTCTGTTTATTTTAGGGCACTTTGTAGAATCTGTTTTCACTTTGACGTTTATGAGTCATCTTCGTCATCTTCTTATTTCTGTTCTTGTTTTTTTTTTATCGTCCTTGCATCACCCCAATAGCTTACACATCAAAGCTCATAAACAAGATCTCTCCCACCAGAATTGAATTCTTCTGTTTGTGCCCTGAAGTTGCGGCGTTGTAAATATTCTGTCTACACATGAGCATAAACAGGAAAGCGAATTTAGAAATTCAAGACAAATAAGCAACTTTGTTGTTGTAAGCTGGGTATGTTTATTCAGCTGACTTTAGAAATTCCATTTGGCACAATTGTACAATAATAAATAAGTTTCTGTCTCCCTCCTGAAATATCTAAATATAAATGTAAAGCATTTTGCAATAAATATGGTTTATCCACAATACAGATGCACTGCATCGACATGAAAAATCCAACACTCCCAAATGCTGATCATGATTAGTTGACATGGGAAATGTAACACACATGCACACACACACACACACACACATTTGCATTCCTGTAATACTGCCGCACTTTCAACTCATTTTTACACACAAATACAGACACTGAAGTACTCCACTCCAATATAAATGGACAAAAGTAGAGTCACTGAACCCCTTGTCCTTTTTGCATTATCTTTTTTTCAGAGGAGGACGATAACTTTGGATCTATTTCATTTCCGTACATGCATTTTTATAAAATAAGAATTTTTATTTGCATAGACAACACTGATGCAGCCTGGTCGAAACAAGTGATCACGTTCTGTATCCAATTAGCAAGCTTAGACACAGTTTAATCGCGTACTGGGGTTGCATTGGCAAGCTGCCCTAAATTTCAAAAAACAAATTAATGACATATTTTCTCGTCTACCGTAGATATTTCCACAGGGCAGGATGTACGTATTGTTTAAAATTTAAAAGTCTCCGTGTGCGTCAATTTCATTTTCGATTTGTTTTAATTTGCAATTCAAATATATTAATGAAAAAAAAAAGAAAAATTTCCACTTAAATTGAAATAGAAGTGAGCTATGTAAAATGACTGCATGCTCTGTTAGCTGTTACCGTGTTTTTACAGTAATTCCATTAGCTTTGAAGGAAAGACGTGTTTAGGGCTTGATGGATCCCGGCGTGACTCCAATCTCATTTGTAGTTTTGTCCTTAATTACTTCAGTGTTATTCAATTAGACCAGTCTTTTTCGGTGAGAAAGAACAACAAGGACAAAGTCGTCGTCGTTTTGGGGATTGTGCCTCATTTGACTCAGACCAAATTCAACTAGCCCATATCAGATTGTTCTTTGCACTTTGTATACAAACCAGATTCGTTTTGTGTTTCTGACTGAGGTTGAAGCTTGGGATACGGTATACAGGGATTTAATTGTAATGTAGCTTTAAGAAGACTGGCTGCACTTTTACAATATGTTTCTGAAAGGACAAGGCTAAACTTAACGCTTAATCCTGTATGTCTGAACAGCTTAGATCTGTCAACTCCACCATCAGTTCATCTTCACACATGCAATTATCTATTAATTGTGTTTGACAGATTTCATACTCTGTGATTAGTCCAGTACCGAAAGTACGTTTTCTAATGAAAGGGTGAAACATCTATACTCTTAAAAATAAAGGTTCAAAGGGGTTTTCAGCCTGGTGTCATAAAACACTTTTAGGTAATTGGTAGCTTTAGGAAAACATGGATCTCATTAAAAATTTGTCCAGGTCACATTTCACCCAAAAAAATCAAAAGTAAATATGAATTTTTGTTAAGAAAATAAAAAAACAAAACAAAAAAAAAAATGCACATTTTGCCAGCAAATTCTCATTATCGTACAATTACTGATTATTATCTTTTCATTATTTTTGTTACTGCAATATAGTATTTTTTTATTTAAATCTGCATAAATTAGAGGTGGTACAAATCATGCAAAATGTATAAATAGTTGAAATAATAATGCATTTCTTTTTGCCTTACTGTAATGCGAATGAGTGCAATGAAAAACTCATCACTTAATGTAAAATATATATTTTTTTGTCTTTTGAGTTTCAATGACCTACACATGTTCTTGACTGGTTTTGTAAAATGTAACGTTACGTACTGGTGCTTTATAAGCCAGAAACAAATACGTTGATCTGAATAATCAAGAATTTTATTTCATCACCAAAGAAAAAGGGACTTTTTAAAGGGACAGTTCACCTAAAAAAATCTATTCTGTCATTAATCACTCACCTTTATGTTGTTACAAAGTAAGTTCATCTTTACAACACAAACGAAGATATTTTTGATCAAATCTGAAAGCTTTTTGTCCCTCCATTGACATCTACGCGACTACCACTTTGACGCTTCAAAAAGTTCATAAAGAGATCGTAAAACTAATCCATATGAATTGATTGCTTTATATGATGAACAGATTGAATTTAGGCTGTTATTCACATATTGATCAGCGAACATAAACAGAAGCTCAAACGTGATGCGTAACACATTTGTTCTTGCACATCAAGCGAACATGATTGAGCTTCTGTTTACCACAACTGATGTTTGCGTTGATGAATATTTATGAGTGAATAAAAGCCTAATTGAAATCTGTGAATCACATAAAGCGATTGTGTCTCATCAGAAAATTTGGACTAAACCGTTCAATGCTCAACTATGGCTCAGTTTACGATCTTTTTATGAACTTTTTGAAGCGTCAAAGTGGTAGTTGCGTAGCTGTCAATGGAGAGACAGAAAGCTCAGATTTCATCAAAAATATCTTCATTTCTGTTCTGAAGATGAACGAAAGTCTTACAGGTTTGGAACGACTTTCAATTTCATTTTTGGGTGAACTATCCCTTTAAGAGGACAGGTCTTTGTTTAATGTAAAGTGCTACAAAGAATCATTGAAGAACCTTTTTTAAGAGTTAAATGTTCCATCTTTATAAATAAAGGTTACAATTACTTGAATGATAAATGTATACGTTTGCTGTTGAAAAAGTCTAAATCTGGAAGTACTTTCCAAAAGACAATGTATCTCAAGTTGATCATTGTCTAGAAGAATGTAAACATGAACATGTTCATGAGAAAAATGAACTTTTAAGGTCTTTGAGGGTCGACACCTTTGGGAAAACATTTGAAGTTGTACTTTTTCCTACTGGATTTTGGAAATGGGTGGCCTATTCCTACTTTAAATCTAAATATTTGGGTATACATTGTCTCAAAGACGAGGGAAAGTGGGATATGATCAGACGTGCTTTGGCAAGGCTTTAAGGTCAAATTTTCAGGGCTTGATGTATAGTGTGCTTATACGTTTCAAGTGACAATGTTGTTTTAGGTAATTTCTATCCTTGAAGACTTTCATTAGAGAAGCATTTTTCCACATGTATACCTCTGATTCATATTTCTGACTAATGTAATCCCAGGAAGTGGGTGCGGTAGAACAAGATTCATTGCATGTACATTCTTCTAAGAAAACAAACATAAAAGAAACGAAGAAAGAAATGAGGTAGTTTTCACAGCTGTGTTGCACTTCATACTTCAGTATTCAGATTCGTAACAAAAGCGAGCAGCGTACAGTTGTCGCTGTAGCCCTCTACCATTTATATATATATATATATCTTCGGATAAATACTATTATATTTGTACTTGTTCTTCTGCAGAAGTTTCCAGTGGAAGGCAAAATGAGTCTCCCGCCAGCTTTCGGGCCCATTGATTAAACCAACGATCCACCTTTAGTTAAAGTCCAGTGCCCTGCACTAATCATAAGTGCCAGTGTCCACTGAAAAGGCAGAAACAAAACTTTTGAAGGGGTGTGCATAAGACTGACGTGACGCCTTCATAATCATGACAGAACACATGCCATAAATATGAAGAAGGTTTTATGCATGTTTATGACAACTGTCATTAAGTGTCATTCGCTCAATTATGACATTTTTAATGCAAATATGACATTGTTTGAGATGTCTTTGTTAGGGCATATTGACAAACCAATACATCATAAACATGACATAGCAGAGTAATGATCAACCTTAAGAAACCACTTAGCTTTATAGGTTAAAGGTACAATATGCAGGATTTTTGCAGTAAAATATCCAAAAATCTAGGGCTGTCAAACGATTAATCGCATCCAAAATAAAAGTTTGTGTTTACATAATATATATGGGTGCACTGTGTATAATTATTTTGGATATATACTGTATATAAATACACACACATGCATGAATATTTAAGAAAAAAAATATTATTTATATATAAAATATTTATATTTATTCATAATATAAATCTATATACAGTATATACATGAAAATATTTCTTAAATATATACAAGCATGTGTGTGTGTGTTTATATATATATATATATATATATATATAATAATGATTATACAGTTATACCAGCGCCATCGCACCCTGCTTCACACCACAGTCATATTAAAAACATCAATGTATTCACTCATCCACAAAAGATCCATCAGCTTGACGACAAGATTCATAATTCTGCTTAATGCGGAATATACGTCATTAATATACGCCTTTGTTATTTTAAGAGGTTAGCGACCCCTAGTGGCGAAACAATCTTGCATATTGTACCTTTAACATTACATTAGACTGTCATTGGCTTTGACATTGGCTGTCATGAGGCCATTATAACTGTGTCATGAATATTTTTCGTGACCTCAACTACAGTGGTACAAATTCAATTTGTCGTTAAAATGTTATAAATGTTAAATGGTTTCTTAAGTTTGATCATTAATCTGCTATGTCATGTTTATGATTGTCTTAGTAATGTCAAGTTGTCATGAGAAAGACATCTCAAATAATGTCATATTTGCATTAAAAATGTCATAAGTGAGCGAATGACACTTACATAAAACATTACGCACCCCCCTTCAGGTAAAGCGTTTTTTCCTGTGACGAACTTTCCACAGTTGGCTTTAGACAATTCAGGCCTTTTCTTTTGTGTTTCATGCATCACTTTTCTGTACCTTTGATTCTTTCCATGGTGGCGTTCCGGACGGCATCTTTTTGTTTCTCGTTCTCGGATAGCGTGTCACACGGTCGCCCTTTCCAAAGCTCCTATGGAGTTCTGAATCATTTTTGGGTATTTCTAAGGGAAACGTATAGACACACTCCCTGAAGTTTCCACAGCTCCCCGAATGTCATACGCAACCGCACGCTCTCGCAGACACGTTCTGGATTGTGTAGAATCTGTCCTTGTTGTCAAAGAAAGACATTTTCTTCTCGAACCTCGTAGGCCGACAACAAGGAGTGTAGCGCGCCTTGTCTTTTTTCCCGTTTTCCCGTCCACGCCGGCCTTTTTCACTGGAGCCGTTATTTAACTGCATGTGCTCCATTACAAAGTCATAGTTGCGTCTCTCATGGATGCACTTCCCACTGCAGTATCTGAAGCGCACTGTCTCGTCGCTTTCGTACCCGAGCCCAAGCTCGCTCACCGTGAGCTCGACCTCATGCAGAGAGCACGGTTTTGGGCCTTTCCGTGCTCGTTTGGTTCTCCGTCCCGTCTCGGTTCTCATCCTCCTTTCCTTTCGGTCCACCAGAGTCGCAATCACCTTCTTCAACTCGCCCTCGGTGAAGCTTTGGAAGAGGTACGAGACTAGAGGAGGAAAAACACCCAGAGGAGAATGTTAATGTTTGCTCTTCCATAATATAATTCAAGAGACTCAATTGAGTTCTTAGGCCAGAAACGTACTTCACATCAATGTATGCTTTCCAGATTTTTGCTAATGAGCCATTAAACATACTTTGTGTTTCTGTGGCGGAAACAAACCTCAGTTCTCAAGGGGCGATTGAGTTACCTTCGAATGTCTGTGTCATTAAACCAGAGCTTGGATAATTTACCTTCAGTTCCCTCTGGAGTTTATTGTGGGATTTTTCTTTTTAGAATAGCGGTTTTGGATTTATGAGTAAAGTAAGGTTCATTACTATCACGGTTTTTGTTCTACGACATAAATTATACACTATTAGGTTTCAAATGTGAATTTTGAAGCCACTCTTTGTCTGTTTTTTTTTTTTGCTAACAAGTTGTCGCAAAAAAAAAAAGGTTCAATGGGGTTCTATACAGAACTAGGGTTCTTGACTCAAATTTATAGAACATTTTATGCCTGAAAGGTTCTAAATACGAAGAAATGTTTAATGGGTGATTTCAAATTATTTCTAATAATACACTGGTTCTATATAGAACCTTAAAAGGTTCTATCAGCGCTATGTATTTGGATTGGAACCCCTAAAAGGTTCTATACAGATAAGGTTCAGTAATAAGAACCCTTTAAGGTTCTTTGGAACGACAAAAAAGGTTCTATTTGGAACCTTATGGGTTCATTCATTATCATTTGTTTTGTCCTTTTCGGATTAAATATTTCATATTATTGACAAACATCAAGACCCTAAAATGTATTTATGAATGCATGTGAATGATCACAAAATACAAGATATGTCGATTATATTTATATAATTTTATGTAGTTAATCAATATCACACAAAGAGCCATTTCAGTTTCTCCTCCAAAAATCAGCATGATTAAATGTGATATTAACAGTTTAATAAACAATAATCTAATTACAACCTCAAAATGTTGCAGTATAATGTAATATATGAATGAGTAATAGCCTATAAAGAACCTTTGTGCCAAAAGGGTTCGTTCTTGTCATTATAGAACCTTTTTTTACTATAAAAGGTTCTTTTGAGTTGAGTAAAGAACCCTATGCTACATATATAGAACCCCAATGAACCCTTTTTTCTACGAGTGTAAAGTATGTTATTGAGCTGCTTAATTCATAAAATGTAATTAATTAATTAAAACTAGATTTATTCTAGATTAAATCTAGAATAAATTTAATTAAATGGATATTTTATCTAGATTTATTCTAAATAAATTCATAAAATGATGACATGATGGAAAGGTTCTATATATGAAGTGACTGACGGAACACTTTAATGTTCTATTTAGAATTTTTTCTTTTAAAAGTGATGTAAGAACTACAGGATATGTAGCAATTTACAAACTACTTAAGTTTTTTCAAAAAATGCAGCAAATTAACAAATTCATGTTTGAGTCTGACTGTGTAATTTACAGTGTGTTGTTGTGGAACAAAATGTGAAAGTCTCTTTTTGTTAGCCTCAGAATTTATTTTACTCAAATGAAAACACAGGAACGTCTTGAGGGAACTCATTAAACTGCCAATTCTCTTCTGGGTTTTGCCTACAAACTCAACAGCTCTATATGGGGAACTACAGTAACTATAAATATGCTAACAATAACTATTAAGATTCTCTTCAAATTGTTTCACCTGTCTTTGCTAATTCTCGCTATAGTCAATCTTGTGGTAACTTGTGCTTGCATAAAGTGTGTTTTAGACCTTAGTAGTGTTTGCGTGAAGTATAACTGTCTTAGATGTTTTTACTAAAATTCCTTAGAGGTAAAATGAGCCAGTTGTTGAAATACTGTAAGATTATAGACCTTATTGAGGATGGAAAGCATATTTAATTTGACACAAATGAAAACAAGGCTGAAGAAGGCTGTTGGGTTTAAACAAGTAGTTCATTCAATAGGCTCATCAGTAGGTCCGTGTGAAAGTGTGTTTCGAATCAGTTATTGAACATTTTTTATTACCGGTATATATTATATTTTACATACATTTTTATTGCAAACTCAAACATTCTAGCTGGCTTGCATTGAAGCAGTTAAAATGACTGGAAAGCATCATTAAGAATGTGTTAAACTACAAACCAAACTAATGTTTCGCATTATATATTTTTGTTTTCAAGGAAAAATGTATTTTTGAATTTATGGTTTTCTGGCCAGAAACAAAATCCTGATTGTTGAGCTCTGGAGTTAATATATAGGACTTTGTATATCTTTTGTACTTTCTTTTTATTTTCATCTGCGTCTAATTTCATTTTTACGGGATCTATACCCTGGTATAGATGTGGTCTATAGAACTATAAAATGAATGTAAATAGGCAGAAAGTTTGGCTTTTATAGTTAAGAATTTGAAATGTTTAATATGACTCTAAAGGAGACGCGTGAGATTAATTATACTCGACGCATCTGCACTGTAAGAAAATATTGTTGGTTTAACTTAAAAAAGCTGGTTGCCTTAAAATTTTAAGTTGATTGAACTGGAAAAAGTGAGTTAATATAATGAAGGAGATTAATTTAATCATCAGAAACTCAAAATAATAAGTTCTCAACTAAATAAATTATTTAAGTTGATTTGACAAAAAAAAATGTTGTGATAACAAATCTTGAAAATATATATATTTTTTTTACAGTGTGTAGAATTGCAGTCTGTAACCAGCTTTAGCTCTCCATTTAAACTCATTGCTGTTTAGGATTGGGCTGTGCAACTTATCACAATTGCAATACAATTACAGTTCGATAGAAGCTTGAGTAATTTCTAAATTGCTAAAAGCTGCCATATAAAATCATTATTTAATCTCTTTAACATTCTCATCTGTATGCAAAAAAAAAGATGTTTACCAATCAGAATTTAGCTAAATTCATGAAATTAATTCATGCTAAAAAACTGAACGCGGATCCACTACAGAACACTACAGAGTTTTTGTTATTTTTGGACCAAAATGTATTTTCAATGCTTCAAAACATTGTAACTAACCCACTGATGTCACATGACTACTTTGATGAGGTCTTTATTTCCTTTCTGGACAAGGACAGTATACCGTACACACATTTCCAATGGAGGGACAGAAAGCTCTCGGATTAAATCTAAAATATCTTAAACTAAAGAGGTCTGACGTGCTTGGGACGGCATGAGGGAGTCTTTAATGACATCATTTTCATTTTTGGGTGAACCAACCCTTTAAGTGCTCAAAGGGCTTGACCTGCACATTTTGTCTCGGATTCACCAGCTTTAAATCTCTATAATGGTCAAGGTTGTAAAGTAGGATTACGTCCATCTTTAATATGGGTTTAGAGCATTTTTTTTACTGACCTTTCGATACTCCATGTCAATAGTTCCTATGGTCCTAACACTACACGTTTTGTATGTCTCTAATTAAACGCCTGATTTTAAGTCATTATTACGTCTTTAGAGACACCAAGAGGGGTGTGTCAGATAAGAGAAAGATACAAAATGTGTACTAGGTTTAGAAAACCTGTCCTATGTGTAAGATAAGAATAGGTCTGCTTGTCTGGATGTGTTTTAGGAAAATTCCTTTCGCGTGTAATTGCACACATGGTTGTATTTCAGTTATAGCTGCCTCTTTTTTTTTTTAATTAAGGGATTAAGATCAATTTCCAAAAGGTTGATTTTTTTTTTGATTTTTTTTTTTTTATTCCTGTTCTTAGTCAACTTTAGCATGGGTGTGTTCACTTATGCCAGAGACTATTTATATAGAGACATGCCACTTCCTCAATCCTTAATACAACTATATAGGGAAAACCTGTAACACCAAAGATGGCGGTTGTATGCATAGGTCCCGCCCCTCCCGCTGGACAGCCAATCGTCTGCTTTTAACAGTCAAGCCGGGAAACATTTAAAGGATTAGTTCACCCAAAAATGAAAATTCTGTCAGTATTTACTCACCCTCATGTTGTTTCAACCCCGCAAGACCTTCGTTCATCTTCGAAACACAAATTAAGATATTTAAGATATTAAGATCACTCCTGCATACTAGTCCATAGGCTTCTTGAGGGAATGACACTTGATGGCATCTAAAAGTCATTAAAGACATCGTTAAAATAGTCCAAGTGACTACAGTGGCTCGATCATAAGTTTATCAAACGACGCGAATACATTTTGTGCGCAAAAACAAACAAAAATAACGACTTTATTTCAACTATTCACTTCCTTCTCCATGGGCCTGTAGTCAGTTAGCGTAGTGTGATTGCGTAAAGCTACGTCACACGTAGGCTCACTATTGGCCGACGCTGGTCATGTGTGTGATGCGTGTGACGTACAATAACAGATCATGCGCTGTTAAACTAGTAACCTGACTCGAGGCAGAGGGAGAAATAAACGAATAGTTGAAATAAAGTCGTTATTTTTGTTGTTTTTTCCGCACAAAAAGTATTCTCGTCGTTTGATAAACTTAAGATTGAGCCCCTGTAGTCACTTGGACTATTTTAACGATGACTTTTCGATGCCAGCAAGAGCCAGTCCCTCAAGAAGCCTATGGACTAGTATGCAGGAGTGATCTTAATATCTTAAATATCTTAATTTGTGTTGCGAAGATGAACGAAGGTCTTACGGGGTTGGAACAACATGAGGGCGAGTAAATACTGACAGAATTTTCATTTTTGGGTGAACTAACCCTTTAAGCCTATCGTTAGGGTTGGGTATCGAGAATCGAGTATCGATTGGAACCGAGACTAACTTTTCGTTTTTCCCGGAATCGTTCAAAAGTTAAAATTTCGATTCCTAGTTTCGATATTCACAGTCCGGCGAGCGGAAGAAGAAACCGCTGAACAACACCAACGAAGAAGCGTCTACCGGAAGTGTTGGCATAACCGCGCGAGTCGAACATGAGTAGCTTACGTCGGCGATCCAAAGTGTGGCTTCACTTTTTTAAAAATAACGAAATCTCGGCAAAATGCAAAATTTGTGACAAAGGAGTATTTTTACAGAAGGATTATTTCCTTCAGAAAGGCCGTTGGTTAGCTAAACTTTTCTGACCCTGCCTCTTAAAAGAATCTGAATCGAGAATCGTTAGGAACCGGAATCGAAACAAGGAATCGGAATCGGAATCGTTCAAATTCAAACGATACCCAACCCTACCTATCGTCTGGTTCCACTGACGCATGCGCAGAGTTGAGGTTTGCGACAGAGGAAAATACGTAACTGTTTCAAAAAGGCGGGAGATTTGATATGCAGTGTATGTGTGCGTTGTGTAAATATCAGGCATCCCAAGTCTCCCGGAAGTTCAACCAAATGACTCGAAAAATGATTTGTTCATTTTGATGAACGAGTTCGAACAGGAGAGTAACGAACGCACATCACAGAACAGAGCAAGGCGACCATTTTAGCTTATAAAACTTAAACGACAGCTCGTTTTGCTAGATAAGACCCTTATTCATCGTCTGGTGTCGTTTAAAGCCCTTTGAAGCCGCACTGAAACTCTCATTTGGACCTTGAACCGTTTGGACCCCATTGAAGTCCATTATATGGAGAAAAATGCTGGAATATTTTCATCAAAAACCTTAATTTCTTTTCGACTGAAGAAAGAAAGATATGGACATCTTGGATGACATGGGGGCGAGTAAATTATCAGCAAAAGTTTTTTTAAAAGTGAACTGCTCCTTTAACGTGAGATCGACTGAAACGGTGTTTCACCTCAAGTGAGCTGACAGACGCTGTGTGTGTGTGTGGTAACTGTGAACTGATGATATACGAGGTTTTGTGTGACTGAGCATGTAGTATAAACACAAAGGCGACTGAAGAATGACTTTAAATCCTTCCTGTCATGTCTACGTCAACGGCACCTAATCCACACTAGGAAAACCAAAAAAGGTTTCTCTTACACTCGGAGAGAAAGGTGCCCATGTCCTCCGTGGCTCGGACCGCTCGTCGCGGCGCTGGCTTCCTCTCTGAGGTTGATGATCCTGAAGATGAGGATGATGATGGTGGGGATTCAAGTGCTGAGGCTGGTGGATGTGAGGAATAGCCTGAAGAAATCTTTAAGGCCGTTGGGTAACGTGGCCCGACATGTAACGTGGTTCTCATAAGCAGGAGGAAAAACGAGGCACCAAACAGGATGAAGGCGATGACCTCTTTCCATACCCTCATCTTAGAGCAGCGTGGAGCATTGAAACTCTGAAAAACAGATGTTAAAACAGCCTCATTATTAGCCAACTCATCTCACTCATGTTGTTTAAGTGACTTATAGTTTTTATGAATGTTTTTGGATTTTATATATACAGTGTAGGACATTGTATTCTTGTGTTAGGACAACGTTGATTAACTTTTTTTGATATATATATATATATGAAGAGTTCAGATGCAAGCCTCTAAATGCCATTTGAAATTTTCATCTTTAATGATGATTTTTATCAAACTTGTATATTTAAGTTCAGTAATTTCACTTAAATAACAATTAATAGGTAATTATCATTGCCATTTAAGTGAAATTACTGAACTTAAATATACAAGATTGATAAAAATCATCATTAAAGAAGAAAATTTCAAATGGCACTTAGAGGCTTTTGCATCTGAACTCTTCATATATATATATATATATATTAGAGGTGGGCATAGATTCATTTTTTAAATCTAGATTAATTTTGAAATTAATCTAGATTAAAATGGTTCATTTGAATTCTACCAAAGGTAAATAACCTCGCAGGTAGTTTGTAATTAGGCCTAAATATGTTTTATACAAGATTTAACACTGGAATGTTCATATTATATTACAAGATTTAACACTGGAATTATTCATATTATTGTTCATATATAACACTGGAATGTTCATATTAGGTTTTCTTGTGTAATTCTAAACCCATTTGATCTACTTTTTTTCTATGTAACACGAAATCAATTATTTTGTAGTGTCCGGAAAGCTCTTTTTCTTACAATACAAATAAATAGAGAGGAATGAAATATCTGATGAATGCATATAATGCATAGCCTAATAGAGAAATCAGCTGCTTGAATGACAATTCCTGATTTTCAGGTGAGATTCTCAGTTAATTCAGTTAACGGATGCTCTGAAATCACTTCATACGTTTTCTGTATCCGATCTTAAAAGGTGTAAATGCCCTCCGAAACTCCGATCACTCAAACCACATCAGGAGGTAGTCTTGGCCACATTCCAGACGAAACTGGACATGTGTAAATGCATCTGGTTGTGTATATATATTCTGTTTTAATATTATTTGTTTTGTTTTTTTATTATATTATATTTATTTGATGTATTTTTGTCATTTTTTTTTAAATTTGATAACTATAATAACCATTGCTCAGACTGGCTTTTTATCCATCTTTGAAGTATGTGGCTTTCTTAACATTTATTGACAGCATTATATGAACTGTAAAAGTGTTCCTGAGCATAGTGTACAAAAAAATGCATGGTATTAAAGGAATAGTTCACTCAAATTACACAGTTTGTCATCTTGTCATTTTGTCTTATAATGTCGAAACCTTTGCATGCAACAAAAGTGGATGGTGATTTATACTTATGAAAACAACATAAAAACACTGTAAGAGTAGTTTGTATGACTTTTGCACATATATATGCAAATATATATTGCATATATATCTTTTTATATCTTATTTTATATATATATATATATATATATATATATATATATCTTTTGCTATATATATATATATATATATATATATATATATATATATATATATATATATGACTTTTGTATTATATTTATATATATATATATATATAATACAAAAGTCATATATATATATATATATAAAAGTCTTCGAAAAAATTCACACTGATATTTAACTATGGCAGATTGCATATGTTTAGATTGTTTTTTGATATTTAATATTGCATGCTCATTCTATATTTAGATTACATTTGCTGTCATCTAACGCTTATTTACATTTAATCTTTAAAATTACTACATTAAGTGTTAAATGCTATCTTTAGCAAATCTTAAAATGAATATATAGTGATTTCTAAATTTGCTTGTTTCATTTAAAAAAATTTAGTGTTTTATTTTTTCATTTAGACCAAACGGTATAGAATTTGTATGTGTGTGTGTGTATATATATATGGAATATTTATCAGTATATTTAAGTCATTATTAACTATTATAATCTATTTTGCTTTGTTTTGTACGGGTTGCATCACTATCGGTCATGTGACCCAAAACAAAGGACGTTTTGGAGCAAACTTAGGGCTGCCATCCATCTAAAGGACTATTTTTATACTGCTTTTTATTTTTATTTTCAGAACATGGCGATATAAATAACACTCCATGTTTCTTTTCTGTGTTAAAGACAAAAAAGTGAAGAACAGATAATAACGAAAACTTTGGGTCAACTATTCCTTTTAGGGACTTTACCTTTTATATATTGGCTTCAACCGCATACTTGGCATAGACAGAGTGTTTTTAATAACCCCTAATTATACTGTAAGAATACAATCTAAAGAATTACTGTTCAGTTTTGAATGGTCACACAGATGTGCTGTGTGTGTATGAATAGAGGATCTCTCTTTCAAGTCATGAATGTTTCTATGCATTGTGTCCTTTTCCCAATTGATTCCTCATCTTTATGAAGGCGCGTCCTTCATAACATCCACCTGGGTGGAGATCCGATATCATTGTTCACATGCAAGTCCAAACAATTAGTCTTACGTTTCCTGAGGGGGAATCTTTGTTTGTCGAGATGGTCCATTCAATGCAGGCAGATTTGGGATGGTAAACAGACCTTCAGTAGTTGTTGAGATTACACAGGGTGAGATGGATCTAGTTTTTTGCATTAGGTGATGATAACAACGATGAAGTGCTTTCTTCAAAGTTTTGCATGTGGGCCTGCTGCTAGAACGCTCTCCACCAGATATATCTGTTGGGTTTTGTTTGTTTGTTTAGCAATACACCTTAATCTATGCCTGCATATGTGCACATACTTTCCCTTCATTCTCTCAAAAGACTGCATTCTTTTCCTGCTGGGAATCTCTGTTGTTTTTACAGTTGAACGCACTGATTGAAAAGTCCCACTTTGTTATTACTAGTTACTGTTTTCTCCAGAGTAGGAGGAAAGGGGGAAAACTCTTCCCCAGGTCAGGAAATGGCAGATGAGTAACATTTAAGGACAAATCCAGACCGTATATGCTGGAAGTGTTTCGCCAGATTGACAGTATGGTGGTCTTATTGGGTTAATGGGGGTTTGGCTGTCAAGTCTAGGGTTAATGTGTGTGTCTGAGGTGTAGAAATGGTGTAATTGTTTGTTTTTTATATTGAGCACAAATATTTTCATTAAAGATTTTCACTACATCACAGTGATTCATGTCTGGTTCAAACTTTACACTAAATTCAATAGAAGGAAATATAATCCTAATGCTCTGCAAGATGGAGCTATGACGAAATTAATTATCTATGAATATAAACTATAGATGAAGTTTATTTTTAAGACTTGTTTGTTTTTATCAATTCTACAAAGACATTCACATTAT